GGAGGAGGACTGAACTCTCCCTGCATGCCCCACTGGGGCCTTCTTCCACCCTCCCCCCTTCCCCTTTCCCCTCCCTAACACCCCTTCCTAATGTCAAATAAAGACACCTGTTTTGCCAACAAAAATCTCTGTTTATTTTACATAACTGGGGTGGGGAGAGAGAGCAGTGAGGGTGGAAGAGGGGAGGGGGAAACCTGGGAGGAGGGAACTGGAAGGGGGTGGAAGGGGAGGAAGGGAAGGGAAAGCTCAGGCTTGGGGGTCCGGCTGGCTCTCCCATCTCGCAACACTGCGGGTGCGGGGACTTCGGGGGGGAGGGGGTGTGAAGGGTGGGGCAGGAGGGACGGGGGGTGCAGAGGAAGCGGGAGAGGGAGCAGGAGCAGCAGAGGGAGCAGGGGCAGCAGGGGTGGGAGGAGGAGCGAGAGCTGGGGCAGCCGCAGGAGCCAGAGCAGGAGGAGGCAGGAACCGGTCCACCAGGGTCTGGAGGTGGCCTCTGAGGGCACGGCCCTGCTTCTCCAGTGCATCCACACTCCGCTGGTGCAGCCGAAGGTCCTCCCGGACCCAGTGCTCCTGGTTGCGGAGCAGCTGCTCCGTGAACCGGAGGTGCCACCTTTGGTAGGCCTCCTCATTCCTGGCACGCCTGCTGGCTGTGGTGAAACAAGAGCAGCGGTCAGCTCTCCCTGGGGAAAAGGTGGATGAAACCCAGCCCCCCTCTGCAAGGCCAAGGCCCCTGCATGACACCCAGCTGCTGCTCCATGGTGGGCAAGGCCCAGGCGCATGGTCCTTGGGCTCCCTCTTCCCCCCACCCCTCCGTACACATAAGGGGAGCATGATAGTACTCACAGGTGGAGGCCTCCCCGGCCTCGGACGACACAGGAGATGTTGTCTGTGGGGTTCTTCGGGGGTCCTGGGCAGGCTCCCGGCAGGCTCCTGGCTCGCGGCGTCCTCCGGCTCCTCCTCCTCGGTGTCCAGGACGGGTTCCTCTGCCCCGGGGTCGATGACCACCCGGGGGGCATGGACGGCGTGAGCCCCCAGGATGCGGTCCAGGGCGTGAAAGTGGGGGCAGGCCTCCGGGTCAGCCCCTGGCAGGCAGGCCCGGGAGTAGGACTGCTGCAGGTCCTTTATTTTACAGCGGACCTGCTCCGGGGTCAGCTGGTGGCCTCTGGCGGCCAGGCTGGCAGCCACTCGGGCGTAGCACGCACCGTCTCCTGGGCG